CTGTATCCACATGCATGCACATATAATATATCTTTTCATACATATGCTGCATTAATAAAGTATAAGCTAATGGCCGAGAAAAAATGCAGTTACTGGAAAATTTGATTCAGAACTCCATTACACCTGTTTATATTGGTTAAATGTTTTAAAGCTATGTTATCATCATGTTCTCTTAAGGCTGTAGTAGGTTACTTTTATAAAAATAAGTTTTTGTCAATATTGCTGAAATGTATTAATTATATTATATCAAAATTATTAATATGACAAAAAGTTATTTTGATAAAATTACCTACTGCAGGTTCAACATTTTTTCAAGTTTTATTGTCTGTATTTATTTTTTATAATTACTCCCAATTTTAACTCTACATCTCTATAATGTTAGTTTGGTATACAATAGTCAACTATTATTTTATTGTTCAATTGTCTTATTATTGCTATAAAAATAAAGTTTGATTAAACACACAATTAACACACAAGTAAGAGAATAAAGCTAGAGCTAAAACAAGAGCTAATGAAGTGTAAAAGACCAAATCTGTTAGTGAGATAAAGTAGATAGAGTACAACATAGCCAAAGCACGACAGATGCCCCTGACACCCAGACCACAGTATGTTTGTTCTCTGTGGATCAGTGAGCCAGGCCCACTGTGGTTAGGGGTTCAGTTCCCACTGGGATGACCCATGTTAAAAATAAACTGTGAATGCTCATCTATACTCCGACTGGGTGAACTGGTACTCTGTTTTCTATGAACCAGTCGGAGGATATGTATCTGTTCACCTTGCACTAGAACCTCAGCAACAGAAACTGGCTTTAATTAATTACCTAGAATTTACTCCAAGTGCGATATAAACCATCATCCTACCACCATAGTTAAAATACAAAGACTACCAACTGGGGCACCCCAGGAATAATTGATTGTAAGAAACAACCATCATAGCAAAATGTTTAATTAATGTCATCTGACCTGATAATGGCACAAATGAAAGATTAACTCAATAAATAGTTCCATCTATTAAAACTGCACAGAATTGAGTGTTTTTGACTGGGGTCCCCCAGGACCAATTTATTGGTATTTTTAAAAAGCACAATTTTAAACAGAAACAGAAAAAAAATGATATGAAGTAATAACAAACACATTATTGACAATTTCATGAAAAATAGGAATCATAGAATAAATCCTGCAGGTACCCAAGTCGGTAGGATGAGGGTTAAATTTGAGATATTTAATAATTAGCAGAATTTAGCACTCTGTGTGACAACGGGCATCTGTAAAAATGTGGTTCCACACCTACTGATGATGGACAAACTTTCAGTCCAAATATGTGACCAAACAACATGTGGAAAAGGACAGACAGGACACGCAAAAGGAGCAGTGAGCAGGGCAGGTGCTGTACGATGGGTAGCAAAGGTGACTGAGCTAATGTAATTGATATGCAGCGGGGGAATGGGATCAAAGGGATGTTTGGGATACCAGTTCCATCAGGTCCAAAAATAGAGTCTGATTAACAAACAATGATGTGTTAATATGATTCATTATATGTTCCAGAGCAGGACAGTATTGGGTAAAAACCTTTGTCGAGACATAGAATAAGGACTTTTTTCTATTGGGATTTTCCCCTCTGTGGGGCCTGTTTCTGCTCCCTCTGTCCTCTTGCTGTTGGCCCCTCTCTTTGGGTAAATACGGTTGTAAAATTGCCCTAGCTGTAGGACAGAGGGACAGGAACAATAAACCACAACCCCTGTGGAGGTCACCAACCAGTGTAGCTTTTTGCTTTCCACTGCCACTGTAAGGGTCGGAGGGTCAAAGTCAAAGCCCTTCAGCTGAGCTCAGATAAGAACTCGTCATCGCAAATCGATTCCAATTCTGATTTAATCAAAGAAAAAAGAGGAAGTGGAATCAATACCAATTTAACTGACTTGATGCAGTGCAGTGGGATGTGAGATGCTGTTATCTGATCATACCGTAGCTATCCTGAGTACAAACATGCCTCCATTTTTATGCTTGAAAAGGTAGAAGGGATTTTCTTCTGGGCAGCCCAACAGGAAATAGGTACAGTAGCAGTGTTAGGACAGACGGAGGAATGGGAACACTGCCCCACAGGTTGCCAACAAGCACAGGGCAACTGTTTGTTTTCCAAGCACAATATGAGGGTCAAAGGTCAAAGGCAGTCAAGCATATTTGTTTTTCTTTCTCTCCTTTTCTTTCCATTCCTCCCTGTCACCGTACAGTTCGGACATGTACATCTTTATTTAAACTACAACATATTGCTGTGTGTGTTTAGAGTTGCAAAATCCTTGAGTTAGTGCCAGCAAATGCTGTATGTCTCCTGTATTAATTCAGATTAAGGAAAATACACTATGATCTCGGTTTTATCAAATCCATTTTGAAGCCGTTATATCAGCTCATATAAAACTGAGAAAATAGTGAAATCATTGGGTCGTGAAACAAGGATTCCATAAAATGTCCTTACCAGTTAAAGTGAGACAAAGGCAGCTGCATACGATGATAAATGTGTTCATCCTCACAGGACTGTTCATCCTCATCTTCATTTGTCCAATCATGACAGTCATGACATCTTACTCTTTTATGTGCCAATCAAAGGCCCCACTCTCGGCTATATAGGCACTTTGAGCCCTCCGTACCCTCACCTGGAATCTAGATGGAGTGTCCTGAGAAGACACACCTTTCTAACTTAGGCATTTGCATGAACACCTTCAGCTGGATCGCGGCTAGTCGGCACCTTCAGCAGTGTACACTGTTCAGCTGACGGCTCTCTCTCCTGCCCCTTCGTCCCTCTGTGGCCATGGCTCCATGGGTGAAACCACGGTCTGATTGGGTGCGCGTGCTGGGAGTGACGAGAGGGCGGAATGTGTTTGTACTGGGAAGCCTGTAGGGCAGACACCTGTTGGTGCTCACCAATCTGAGGTTAGCACTATGGGGACGGTGGGTGGGAAGAAGAGGAAGTGGAGGGGGTGGGATGGGGCAAAGGAATGGCAATGGGCTACGGGTTATGACAATGGAGATATTTTTGGGGGTAGAGCAAGTGGGCGGGGTGGAGCGTGGAGTTGATTGGGGGTTGACTTTCTCTGCGGACGAAGAAGGATTGGTGGTCGTTTGGTGGTTAATAGGTGAAATATCTTACTCATTTCACTTTTAATGCTTTCTTCATCCTGTAATTAACCTCTCGCCCTATTCTTTCCTGTTAAATCAAATCTCCATGCTTTCATCCCTTCAAACAGTGGTTTTCAATAGAAACAATGGTGGAATTCAAGCCATACCTTATATGTCTGGGTAGAATTTCTCATAAAAATTTGATTTATTTTATGAAAAATAACAACAAAATTCCTGTATGACTGTGCATTAATTTGTGGGGTGAACCTGTCATAAATTTTCCAATTCTAAGTCCTTTATAGGTTGTAAAAACAGCTATCTTGAAACTACCATTCTTCCCAAGTGGCGCCTCCCAGTGGTAGAATTAAATATGACATTGTGGCAAACGCATAGACAGGGGAGGGATGTGGTGAAGGAACGGCAACGATTATCACAATGTCCCATGGTTCCAACCTGTTCACTGAGATGAACGATTTGAAAGCAGCAGAAAAATATCATATCACATAAAATGTGTAGCTGTAGGCACATAATAGTAATCAGAACAAATGGATTACCAGAATTGAGCTGGAACTTGGAATAACCTTCAATAAGTTAAACAGTTAGCTCAGGAATCAGATCAGCAACCCTGACATTGTGTTAGAGATACCAGAGTTGCCGTGACAAGTAAAATAAAGAGACAGAGAGATAAGAAATTTTAGTTAGTAGAGCAGAAAAGACAATGTTGACATGATGTGACTTTATGCGTGTCTGAGCCATTAAAGCTAATGTACGTGTGGAAATTAAACTCAGAGATGCTGAAAGCCTCGGCTCCACAGATGCTGTGGAGTGAAAACCTGCAGTATGAAGTTGTTGAAGCAGAGTCCAGAGTTACCAAACATCTTGGCAGGAGCAGTGAGGTGTTGTCAACAGTGATAGAGTGAGGTCTTATAGGATTCATGAGTCTGAGCAGGGAAAGAGCAACTCAGTCTTGCCGATATTGAGTTTGAGGTATGCTTAAGGCGAGAAAAAGATAAGCACGTCGAACAAGATATAAAAATAGAGATGGATGTTGTTGCCATAGAAATGGTGAGGAAAGTTCTGAGGAGCGAAGACTACAAGCGTTGTGATCGATGAGGTGAAGGCCTTGGAATGAACTCTGGGTCCTGCTGCTTCTTGGATCCTTCATGTAGCTTTTTATGAAGTTGGTATTTCAAGTTATTTTGTCTCTTACACGAGATAAGAAAATACCCACTGTCTTTCCATCACACACTCTGTCTCTACTTTCTGTTGCATCTGAGGTCATGATATCCCTCTCTCCCTCACGCTGGTCAGACTTTCCCGTGCACAAACACAAACAGGCCATAAATCAGTCCCCAAGTTAAGAGCTGAGAGAGGGAAAATGTCTCCGACTCGCCCTCCTGCATGCCGCCACTACCAGTATAAATACATTAGTCAGAAGTGGCCCTGTCTTGTTTTAGTGTATCTGTCAAACAACCCGTCTCCTCAAAGCTACAATTTCATGCAAGGTCAAAGTGTTAGATAATAAGTGGAGGATGGAAATGAGTGCAATTCAAGCAATGCTGCAGTCAGTTCCATTATACTGAAGCGCTATCAGCACCGTCGCCACAATGAGCTGTTGGGAATGACTGCGTACTTTCAACCCTCAAACGCTTCAACTCGCACTTCATATATGCATGAGTGTATTTACACACAGAAATATCAGGGAAGCCCATGCGGCAGTGTCAGATTACCAGTGCCAGTTTGTGTGTGTGTGTGTGTGTGTGTGTGTGTGTGTGTGTGTGTGTGTGTGTGTGTGTGTGTGTGTCTGTAGGATGATTATTAATAGCAGAGCGGGCAAGTGACGGAGCGAGGGTCACAACTCTCACGGCAGCATTCTGACAACAGATGGAGTCTTTGATATCCTCCCCTCAGATCTTTATTTAAGAAACAAAAACAGAATGAAGGCACAAGATTAAAAAGGGCAGGTGTGTGTTTGTGTCGTGTGAGAGAACCAAAAAGGACGTGTGGGCTGCGTGTGTATATCTGCCAGAAAGTGAGGCACTAAGGTCTCATATATAATGGGAATTCCACAGGCTATTGGTGCAGCTGGTGAAATGAGTTGGTATGCTGCTCAGCACTCCAACATAAGAATATCCTCCATGCAAAACCAGCGCCGAAAATACAAGGAGGATTACTATGGTTGCGGAAATATCCACAAAGCATGTGCCACACTCCAGCACATTCTGACACAGGGAAATGAAAGGCAAACAGCTTGCTCATTATAGCATCTGGTTTGTCTTGGTGTTTATGTGCGAACACCACATATGAATATCCTACGTTGGATTCTAATGCACTAAAAGACACACCAGTAGCTTTTAGGTTTATGTATTTATACATGTCAAGTACGCTCACATTGGCTTGGTTGGTATATTTCATGCAATCATCAACGCCCCTTGCACACATAATGCTGTTTTGGCTAGTTTAAATGATCTATGTCAAGAGATCTGTTCAAATATTTCTTGGCAGCAAGACATTTCCATGTGATTAGGGCAACAGTACTGAGGCCGAGAAGTTCTTGAGCACTGTTGCTCATTCAACCGAAAATCCACAAGATGTTCATACATTTGCATATACTTGCAAATTGAGGTTGAATGCAAACAAAACCTGGCAAGAATTCTTGACAACCTAAAATGCCTTCCTCTAAGGGTGAGTAGAATAAAGATGCCCTTCTGTTCAAGCTTAAAAACTTTATAAATTACAGTCTTTGCCTTCCATATGGCCAAGAATTAAAGTGTTGTATTGGAAATTATAGTTTGACACAATAATGGAATATTGTCAGGATGTATTTCAACATTTGACACTGTCTACACTATAGCAAATGAATAAAAATAACATCTTGAGGTCATCTGGGGTTTGCCAGTCACAGAATGTAAATTGGCAGCGCTATCCAAGACACAAAATGAAAGTGGAAAATGTGAGTTTCTTGCCTGGAACACACATAAGAGTTTCTCATTTGCTGGCACAATGGGCCGATGGTTAACTACACCCAGAGAACCATTTAGCACTTTAATAATACAGCGTTTGCTGAGATCAAATGAATCAGTGGGATCAAATGAAGTCAGGATAGGTATAGCTCAAGAGAACCAAATGTCCCACTGCTTCAGGGGGATTTGAAGGGATCAGTGGGGGTGTGGTTGAAGCTGGCATCGGCGAAGATGGCCAAGGTGCCCACAGTGGTGAAGACGACGAAGATCCAGAGGAACATGCGGTCCACCACCATGGCCACATACTGCCAGTCCTCCCTTAGCTGGACAAAGATGGATGGGTGAAAGGAGGGATGAATTCAATGGAATTGGAGAAGGAGAAGAGGGGAGGGGAATGAGGAGACATGAGGAAGGAGAAGAGGTGGGAGGACGGGAAAAGACAAACAGAAAGAAGAGATAAAAATAAACCAAATATTACATTTTTATAGGAACAAGAAGAAGGAACAAAAATATGTGTTCTGAGAAGGAATATAGGAGCAAGGGAGAAAATGGTGAAAGAGTATTATAACTAACTCAGACAGGTAAACTTACAGCTTCGTAGTCCTTCGCCGCCTGCAGAGCCTCAGCGATATATGTGATGGCCTCTATGGCTGACTTGAGCTCGTCAGGTAGCGTGAGGTAGCTGCTTGGGCCGTCAATGAACTTTCTCAGATCTGTACACATGCCCTCTGGGTGAAACCTCCACGGCAACAAAAACACAAACACACATCAGTGTTGCAGGCTAATTAAAAGCTGTAAAATAGTAAAGCGTTTATGAGGCAGGCTGCAAGTCTCCTTCGCACTCTTCTGTCATTCAGAGAGGAATAAAGAGAAGGTCAGAGGAGCTCCCCGGGCTCGCTCTGACAGTGTGGGAGTCACCGCTCTGCATCTGCTGACTGGGCTGCTCTGGCTGAGAAACCCTCTGTGAGTGTTTGTGTGTGTGTGTGTGTGTGTGTGTGTGTGTGTGTGTGTGTGTGTGTGTGTGTGTGCATGTTTCTGTGTTTACCTGTTGCCCTCAGTAACCAACCGTCAGCTGCCACGGTGTGCCAGCAGTTGCTGTCACTCAGATTTTCACACGACAGGTCTAACAGTAGGTCAAATTAGTTCTTTATTAAAGTCACAACAAAGAAATAAAGTCAGAAATCAACAGTCGAGAGGGACATCAGGCAAGTTGCTGTGCAGCGAAACGATGTTCTACTCTCTTCAAAGTGATGGAGGAAACTTGGTTAGCCTTAGACTTTCTGGCTGTTGGTTTTCAGATATGTCATTAATATGCACACTGTCCCAGTCAAATAAAGTGATAAACTAAACAACCAACATTAGCTCAGCCACCATAAACCACTGGTCATACCCGACCAAGCAGAGCTGTGGCTTGTTGAATTGAGTGAGGAGTTGATTTCCAATAAATTCAACATTTCATTTCTAAGAGGACAAATGTCATATTTCTTCTCTCAGAAGTCTCGCAGAACACAAGGCTACTGAAGAAACTCAAAGCGTTACTCATTAACCTTCTCTGCTCTGATTTCCCCTGCTGCATTTCTACGCATAATCGTACAGAGTGTCCTTGAGCAATGACACATGGGTTGCCAGCGTCAGAAACGGAGCTCTAATGCTCCTATAACTTTAAGTAGTGATACAGCACCACTCTCTCTGCTGGACGTCATAGCTGAAATGCTCACTTGAGAGATGACATTGCCCTGGAGATGGCATGGAGATCTGAGAGCACAGCGTTAAAAAAAAAAAAAAGTCCAAAAGAGTCTCTCCACCCATGTTTACTGTCTCCTACTGTACTGTGACTGTCAGATTGAATAAAAATGTCCAGTGGGGCATGAAACATGGTCAGTCAGACAATCAAACAGTCCCTTTTGTCAGATTAAACTGTCTTTTAAACTGTGATGTATGTTTACCAAGAAAATAAGAGCTGAATGACATTGTGGGAATATGACATATAAAAGGAAAAGACATACATATACACGTTCACACTTGCACCAACAAAACACACATTCATCTGTGACGCTGTTAAGTGTGTACCTGCATATACTGCCATATTAAACTATATTAAACCAGATATATTGTATTTTCTTTTTAATTTTTAGCAGTATTTCCCTTTAAGGAAGTCATATGTCATATATTTTATATTGTCATATATTCATATATATATTTTAGGTCACTGCCGTGACCTTGTCCAAACGAATAGTAGGCTTTGAAAAACTAACATTATTTTCCTCGCAGAACAGCTGCACTGTGCCTTTTACAAACATCTGTCGTCTTATGAAACACCTCAAATATTAAACACCTCTTTCACTTATAGTTTTTAGGTTCTGAGGGGGAAAAAAACCCAGATGATAGGAGTTTCAGGTCATGCAGCTCACCACCGGAGGGCAGTATGGCACAGTGTTTTTAACTGGAAAACATTAAGATGGAGTGTAAACCTGGACTACAGACTGGAATATCGAGCTGCTTGGTATTCGGTGCAGAGATTTGGGGGTTTACAATGCAGCGCTGCCATTGCCGCTGCCTCTGTGAGTGTGGCAGGTGAAGAGGCTGTGACCTAAGAGAGGTGGAGCTTCATCAGATAGGGGGTGAGATATAAGAGAGGGGGGTAGAGAGCACGAGAGAGACACAATTTGGCCTTTTAACCCCCTCCTCCCCTTCCCCTCCTACGTGGCTCAAAGCAGCACTTCATCAGCGAGAAGTAAATGACTGTTCAGGAGACTAATTCAACTAAAACTGGCTGCGTCTGGTGCCAAGACGTGCACTAAACCCAATTAAGGTGCGTGTGTATGTGTGGACTCAAGAGAGATACTGCTGTCTCATCGAATTGCTCTAATAGAGCCCCCCTCCTTCTTCTGTCACCCGTTCTTTCACCTAGACACGCAGCGTCCCGCTCTAATGTGTCAGAGTCGATTTGTGCGGGTCATTATTATTTTAGCAACGATCCTCTGCTCCCTCCAGTCTTTCCCTCTTGACATATTTCAGTTCTCACAGGAGGTGAATGATAGAGAGCGAGCGACAGCCACAGACTGCGAGGAGGATTTTTGGTGTTAATAGAGCAGCAGGGAGGCTGGTTAGTTAAGGATGTCACATAATAGCTGGTTCCCACCACACACAGTTCCCCCGTTCTACCAGATTCACCTAAGCAAGGTCACGCATTTACTGTGTGCAAAGTATAGAGACTAGGGTTAGATTTGCCAACATTGACTCAAATCCAGCTCCTTACTCAACAGCTTTGGGGGCAGAGCTATGTAAAACTGTAAAAGCCTGATTCCCCTATAACTTTAAATATTGCCAGTTTCTGTGTAAATGCATCCAAGTCCTGGTACAGTCCTCTCACAGTCTAAACCTAAAGGCCAGAAAGTGAACAGCTAACGTTCACTTCTTAAACAACTTGTTCCCTGATCAGTTCTTACCTCGCAACAGCTCCAAAAACTAGGGTAACTTTATTTAACAGCCTGGCTTTTGGCAGCAAGTGCAACTTTTACTACAAGAAAAACAACACTGGTATTTGCACGCAGGACATGTGACAGTGACTTCTAGTAGGTGTCTAAGTGTATTTGCACAAAGCCTTTAGTGCAGCCTGGAGCAAAGCAATGAACCACCTAAAGCGCCTCAGTGTATCACCTCGATTTCTTATTCTAGACAACAACTGGAGATACGGGTAAGGGAGGATAAGACGTGTGTAACTGCGTCTTCAAAATGTGAAATACCTGCTTTGCTTGGTAAAGTTGGATTTCACAGGACAAATGCAAGCTGTGGAAGAACAGGAAATGCTGGCCAGCTGACTTGAAAGATATGATCCTACACAGACATTAACCTGAAACTCTATGAATACTAAACACAGGAAAAGATATATGAACTATGGAATTTCATTTCACAGTGCTATCTAGTAGCTTTGGGTTTACTCCCAGTGTGTTTTTAATCATTTTCTACTGCACAAAGTTATTCCTTTTACATACAACCCATGTTAAGGACATCAGATATGGATTATGAATTACAAGTGAATATAAATGCGAATGTAATATGTTATGCTGAGTTCATACAGCAGTTTGTGCTGATACCATGCTTCCCAAAAAAAATCACAACATTTGGAATAAGTAATGACATATCTTCGTAATCTAAGATATCTTCGAAATCTAAGATATGTCAGTTCATTTTGATACAAATATGTGAATCATATGAAGTTTCTGTGGTAATATCTAGAAAATACTTTTAATGCCATTACATTTTGTGACAACCGCCCCAAACAGCCACTGTACCAGCTGTGCAGATGTTAGCTAGCTATCAACATTTGCACCAACCATGTGTGTGGAAACATTTTCAACCTGATGAGTCTTCGTATGAATAAAGTGGGTCGGATCTCACCTGTTGGGCTTGGGGAACAAGATGGAGGAGTCGGGCTTGCGGATGAAGTATTCATCAGCCACTTTGCTGATGGAGACGATCTTTTTCTCTCGGCGGGGCAAGGTCTCCAGGGACAGGGGGGTCTCTACTTTTGGCCGCAGCATGCCCAGGTAAGGAGGCAGCATGTGGATGAAGATCTGAGGGGAAAGGAAAGATAAAAATCAGTAGAGGTTACACAACTTACAGTAAAAATCCTTCATTTTATTTGTGCTTCCACTGGAAATCAGAAATGTCAAAATCCCCAATGGTGGATATTTCTTTGACTCAAAACCACATTGGGAAACAGAAGGTTATTTAACTGTACTTTCCTCTTTCAGTCAATAGCTTTTGGCTCTCTCAGACCTCCATCGTCTTCCCTGGTAATAAAAATCAATTTGTTTGGATTCCTGTTTCATGATTTATGGGACAGCTGAAATGTACTTGCCCTGTATTTGCCTATTAAGGCTGAGAAATGAGTCAAAATGTTGAATTTAGCAGTAAGATAACCTTTGAGAACAGTTGCTGCTGAATGATGTGGGTGGGGAAACCAAATGGGTAATGCTTTCCAATTCCTCAACGTCTTCTCTCAAGGTGTCCTTGAGCAGAGAACATAAACTCTGGATGCTCCAGTGGCGCTACAGGACTACAGGTATGGTAGTGGGCAGCTCCCATATACGTGTAATTAAAAAGAAATAAATGATAAAACCAAAGAAAAATCAAGTAAATCTTCTTTTAATATAACCATCAGATGGTTCTTCTTGGCTGTCGGACTGCCTTTCAAAAGAAAACCAGAGGAATTTGAATGGAAGATAAAACAGCAAATCATTTGGGCCAAATGTGAGTTTTGATCAATATCATAAATGCTGTTTGCCTCTGTAAATGGTTCTTTCATCTGCACTTTGAAGTGCTTGGATATCATTCTTTTGAAATGAGTCCTGGCTTGCCTGTATTGACGGATGGATGTCAATAATAGCCCACTGGCAAGGATCACACAGTACTGCAGCTACTACAGCTTCACTTGTATTGTAGTTTCAAAGAAAAAAAGCGTGTCTTAGCCTTCATTCACAATCAAATATACTGATGTTCTTAAATGACCTCCTCCGACCTTTCTGTTGAGTCTGCATGTTCCTATTCCCAGTAATACCTGTCATATTTCCTTGCTGCTGAGACCGAAAACCATTTTTCCACCCAAATGTATTGCAAATTTCAACCTAAGTTTAAACTTGTTTCCGTCCACGATGCAATTAGATTATTAGCAAGTTCATTCATTAAGATAAGCAGTAGGTGGCGCTGATTCTCCAGTCGGAGAACCAGAAGAAGAGGGCCCAACAAGATGATGTAATTAAAAGAGCACAAGTCGAACCTCAAAGAGTGAAAGACTTATGTTTGTTTCATGTATTAATGTGAGCAAGGTATATCAGATATAGGTAGAACACTCATGGATGTATGTTCAAATAGTAAGTGCAAATGCTGAATAATTTAATAAAACACACAATTTAGTCAATTTAAAGTGACCATGTAATAAAAAAAAACAAAATACAACACAAAATCAACTCTTAGGATAAAAACAAGGTGGTTAGCACTGTGGCCCACATTTCAAGCCTTTGAACCCATTTTTCTCACTGACCCCATGTGTGACACTGGTTAGATTTCCCACAGCTTGGCATGTCATGAGCTGTGAATATAAGAGAGAAAACTGCACCCTGGAGCGCTCCACTTCATCTACAAAGACCTTATATCACAACGATGGCTGCTGTAACTCAGCTAGTGTTGCTGCTCTGTCTCTGGCAGACCAGAGCTTCACACAAATTTCTGCAGATTGGCTTAGATGTGAAGATTAATTTGAATAATGGCAGGGCTAAATGCCCAGCTTGAAAGTGATGCCATTAAAGCATAATAACTGTAATAAAAGAATGCTCAGAGAAGAAAAGTCAATATTTCTCTAATTATTCCGAATATAATTATTGTTTTAGTAGTGTGAATAGATGCCATTTTGTCAGTGGTGATTTATATTTACTCAGAATGAGATCATTTTGTTATTCATCACAGACATTCCATAAACTGCTGTACTACAAACAAAGTGTGAATGATTTCTCTTACTTGTTGTTTGTTCTTGTTTTTTTTATTTTTTCATAGTAAAAGCATAAACATGTCCATTATTATAAAACAAAATCACAGTGTCTCCATTGTTTCACATAGATTTAAAGCTGTATTAATTGATTTGTTTTAACCACTTGGTGGCAGCAGAACCAACACGTTCTCACTCCCAACTCATGTCAAATACTGCTGCTTGGTCATTGGCCCTCTGCTTCAAAATATGACACTGTAGGTGGCCCACTCGCACAATTTCCAGATGCGTAGGGCTCCGCGGTCAAGTTAGCAATATAAAGCTTGCATGGTTAATGTTAACAGTCACAGTTTGGTAAGGTTTAGGCACAAAAACTACCTGGTTAGGATTAGGGAAAAATCGTAAGTTATGTACCTGATGTAACTTAAAGGACCAGTGTTTAGGATTTAGTGGCATCAAGCAGTGAAGTTGCAGATTGCAAATAACTGACCAGCGCTGGCACCTATATTCAACAAGCTGGGAATGAGAATGGGTTTTGAAGTTTGTCGGAGAAACTATGGTGGCCATGAAACTTGCAAATATAGCTGCCTTCTGCTGGAAACTGAATGCTGGTGAGACTCAACAAAATAGCAAATTTGGGGGCCGTGAAACCAAAACGAGCTGAAAATGCAAAAATACTCTGCTGAGGGGAACTGCAAACATGAGTGATCATTTTCTATGGGTTTGTCACTGCAAGTGACCCCTTTCACATTTCACATTGTTATTTGATCAATTTATAGTATAAAAATATTTATTTGGAGCAGCTTTAAAAACATATAGTACTGTATTACAATGACCTATGGAGGCAAGAAAAAGATAAATCTGAATATCTATACGTTTCCCACTACTAATTATTAGTAATATTAGTATAATAATTAGTGCACAAATCTTTCCTTTCCACATTTCCCAACACTGATGGTCTGAAGCACAGAAGCAGAACCTATAATGTTCATTTCTCCCATATATATCCAGTACCAAGAACCTTGGTTCCAGTAAACCATGCAAATCACCTGTGCATGAGCCTTTCTGAGGTGAATGTTCCCTGAAAGCTTGACAAAACTTGGAGTGAAGTATAGAGCCGCTGCTCAGGCTTGTAATTAGCAGCACACAATGTAGAGTGAGGGCAACAGCCGCTGATGGAGGTTAATGGTATAACATGATGTGTCGACTTAATGCAATAGTCTGCCTGAACATAAACTACATAGCATCCATCACACCAAATTATTAAAAAAATGAACATTACATTAATTAATTACTTAAAGGCCACACTTTACTACATTGATGGTGTTGCTTAATTTTTACTTTAGTAAATTCACGCCCTCATATTTATTATGTGCAAGATGATAAAACGTATAAAGCTTTTGGATCTGATTTCACTCATTTGCTATTATAATTAGTTAAACCTACATGATGTTTAAGTCTTCTTATTTAGTCATGACCAGTCTTAGTTATATTGTTGAATGAATATATAGTTAGGTGAACAAAGCTTTTAAATTTGACATCGTACAGTAAGCAGTAAGTATTATATATCAAATGAAAGTAGATAGTGGGATATTTTCAGTGCCAAAAGGACATGAAATGATGACCCATAGGTTTTGAATAAAATAAAACTGAATGGCGTAATAGTAAAAGTGGGCTTTAGTTCAGTGCCAAAGGGGCGCTCACTTGCACCCTTTGTTATGAGGAGTTACAGCCCTTTGAATATGTCAAGTGAATACAAGAATCCCAAGACACATCAATAAACAACAAGGGCACTCCAAAAATGTATAAATTAAAGGTTGATGTACATGCACATAAACTTTATATGAGGTTAATAATACATAATTATATAGATTTAAACAAAAAAATCAGTATTGCATTTGATACGTTGCAGATTTTTGCTGTTTTTGCAGAGCCAGCGAGCCCAGAAACACAGGAAAAGCAATCCTAGAACTGTGTCAAATCAAGTCAAATATTTCCATTCATTCATCCTCCAGTTTGAATAATATTGTAACTCTGTAACCAGGCTATGTGTGTGATATTTTATACTTTCGTCCATTGGGGGTAGGGACCTCACCTTGCGCACCCACATGGGCATCTGGTGGGTGTTGGGTGAGCGGTGGTGCAGGTTGAGGACGACCACACTGAGGATGACAGAAAACGTGACCAGGATCATGGTGAACATGATGTAGTTGACAATGATGGGGACGCCCAGCGACGTCTCTGGGATCTTATCGGCCAGCAGCAGCAGGAACACAGTGAGGGTGAGCAACACGTTGATCGACAGGCCCATCTTCTCTCCTGTGGGGGAAAAATATAATACATTAACGACATGGAGACGATCTTACGTCATATTATATCAGTTCATTTTTATGGAAATTGGAGTTCAAGATTTACTTTTGCTGACAAACGGAACACTGAAGCGTGTTACAACTCATCTAGTTTTACCAGGACAAGGTTTGTTCCTCCTTCAACTGAGTGAGATCTACTACTTCAGCAGCAGCTGGTCCATGTAATTCGCCTGTAATGACTCTAATGGAAAATTCATCTCCCATTCTAAGTGAAGCTGATTGGCCAATAGAGCAAGGCCTCTCAGGTGCATTCAGTGGTCACTTACGGACTGTGTTTACCTCAGATTGGTGAGACTTGGTAGGTAATGAGAAATTGATGTGCATTAGCGCAGTGTATGCTCCCACAGTGAGCAACTCATCACAGTGCATCACCACAACAAAATTCAACGCGTCAGAGACCCGGTTGATGGGTGATCTCTGGGAAGTACAGTGCAATGTTGTATATGTGTAGAGATACCTATGAAAATTATATTCCATTTCTGCCAATAGATCCTCCTAAATGTTACACACTGGGCCTTAAAACCTTTGGATTTGACGGCTCATATTTATCATCTACCTTTATGTTACTCCCCGCTCCCCTATCAACTTGAAACAGTGATGTGCATGAGAATTAAGCAGTACTCTGGCTACAGGAAGTGTCATGTTCATCTGATTATCTTCAGATGGTATAAAGTCATAATATTAATTGGTATAATTCAATTCAACATTTTAATTTAATACTACTTTGTTTTGTTTTTCCCCCCTAAGTGCACATGTCAAATCTCTGTACTGGAGCTTACTGAGCAGTGAACACATGCAGACTGATAGCTTAATGAATCTGTGTAAACAACAGAAATCATGTTGTGAGTGTTTCGAACAAGGTACAGCTTTCAGATGATTACTCATTCTACTATTTTCATTTTCAAGGTTATTGATTCGGCAGTGCTCTATGGGAAACAACTATCTAATCTGAAATTGAATCCCTTTGTTAGAGTAATTGTACAAATGTGTGATTGCCCAATTCAACCAGACCACACAAACACAATTAGGAAATGTAGGTTTGTGAGGTTTAAAGCTACACCAAGGTGTAAACTATATGCATAGCTGAGCTTCCACCCTCTTTACCTTTTGTTCATACTAAACTGATTTGTATGTATCCTTCTGTATGGTATAGATGGTATACCTGCATCAGGGGGCAGGTAGAAGTTAAAGATAGCGATGATGGTGATGAGGATGCAGGGGAGGATGATGTTGAGCACGTAGTACAGAGGCTTCCTCTCGATGATCAGGTAGCAGGTCATGTCCTCATATTGATCATCATTCATGTTCTTTCTGCACGGCTTGTGTTTGATGTGCCACTCGCCGCCCTCTGGAGAAACATTAAGAATTTGCAACACAAACAACAAATATGCATAAAAGAAGAGGATCGAAACAAAAGTGCAAACAAGTAAAAACACTTCTGTGACTATGGTTCAGATATTCAGCAAAAGCAAGCATAAAGGGCCTCATGAGAGAAAATTAAAGCATGGAGAAGTCACTGTATTGTGCAAAGGAATATATATCCCCCCTAACAACTACTACAGTGTAATCTACTGTGCAGATGTCACTACCTTTAAAGAAACAGTATGTAGGAATAAACTAAATAAAATTCTTTTTCCAGGTGATTATACAATAATGCAAACATCTGGCAATAGATCTTCCCAAATGTTACACACTGGACCTTTAATATATTTTATTTAACCATCTGAAACTGGTTAAACATGGAATTATGGCAATCTAATGAATGTTTCATTTATTCATTCATTTAAGAAATTGTGTTCTGTCATCCATCTGTCCATCCATCTGTCCATCCTCTCATGTTCCCCACCAAATTCTCACCACTGTAAGCTTCGTCCAGTTGGATCTCCCTGATCTCGTTGCCCCTCAAGTCCAGCGCGTACTGCACGTCGATCTCGGTCGCGTCGTACGTGTAGGAGCGGAACTGCATGGTGCAGTTCTGCCAGTCAAATGGGAAATATGTTACCTAAACAGAGAAACAAACAGGGATGTTACAGGATTTAGAGAGGAGGAAATGAGTGGAAAACATAAGAACAGTTTGAATGTGTTGATGCTCACCTTAACTCCACATGAGCTGCAGTAGAGTGCAGGGGGAGTCCAGGTTACTCTGCCATTACTGTAAGCCTGCACATGGACATGCAGGGCCACATCAAACACCCCGTCATTACTGCAAACAGAGATTCAGATACAATTAGAAACTTCTTTACTTACTTACTAGACCACACACCAGTCACCTCCCAGAAAACAATGTCTGAGGTTTGTTCAGTGTTTGCATGTTGTCCATTCTGTTCTTCCTATATTACAAACACATATGTAACCGATTGCAGCCATAGAGTAATTTTATATAGAATTTTTGACCTGCACAGGGTGTATTACTACCTTCCACTGAGTGCATGCTGGGACAGGCTCCAGTTAGCAAACAAAAAAACAGTAATAATCACACTGTACAGTCATTGATGTCATTTTTTATATTGTATTGTACAGTGTCCCACCTCATTGCCTCCTCTGTTATTGTATTGTGTTAACTTAACCAAACATGAATTGTAGTGAAGCCAGAACCAAAAACGCTCGTATGAATCTTGGTCATTTGCAGCAGTTTTGGAAGGCACTGCTGAAAGTCTTTAAATTAAACTCTTAATGTTCTTTGTATTTATATTTTGAGGGCCCCCCTAGGATTTTTTGCCTAGGGTCCCAACAGACTGCCTGCTGTCCTCCAGTGACTTTACAGAGATAACTGTGTAGTTTCAGTTAATAGAAAATCAGCTTTGGGAGTGGCCACAGACACAGACCATAACATGACTGGCAGTGAGTAGTCTCCACTTTGCCCTGCAACATTAGACAGCAAGTGATTAGCAACAGATCATCATATAATAACAGCATCCCAGGTTGGAATCTCGCCTTTATTTATGTCATCCCGCTTCCTTTCACCCAACATACCTGTCTCTTTATTCTCAAAGCAATAACGTCACCTTGAAATAAAGATAAGGTAAAGGTCTGGTCAGAGTGAGGAACATCTGATTAACTATATCTCGTGTGTCTGATTATTGCAGTCACACTGCTCCTTCCATTCTCTCACCACAGCCATAGAGTGCATCAACGCTTGGCTGCAGTCACACGCTGCAAGGCCACACTAAAACATTTTAATTGGCGAGGATGGAACGGAGGAGCTCGACACATTTCGCAGGACACTTCTAAGTGCAGCACTAATGTTGGATGTATACAGGGCTGTTTAGGCCATTAAGCTCATAACACTGTACACAACAAAGGCATCAAGTCAATTAGACTCAGATTTAGCCGTCTGTCAGGGTGCTGCGTCTGGTTTTTATAGCTCTGGTAATTTCAGCTTGCCTGTCCCTGTGAAGGTGCTGCTGCTGCTAAAATGGCCAGCATTGATTATGCACACACAGAGAAGGGTGCCCACGCTTTTGCATTCATGTGTACTGTATGTACATGTGCATGTGTGCGGTTTCCAAGCGAGTGCCTTCCGGGCTGAAGTAGCAGAACAGTGCCATCATCTCGGTTTTCAGGAAGCCATGCTGCTTAATTGCGTATAAAGTGTTGATGAATGGAGCAGTGGGGATATTTACAGCGGTGTTAATGGGAGTGAGTATGTGTGTGTGCAGGGGTGTAAGGAAAGGAGATTACACTCACAGTTCTAAGTATGTCAATTTTCCAATTCAATACTGTGACATAGAGTCTTCCCATGATATAGGTACTGTACTGTACTGTACTATACTGTACTGTACTGTACCAGGCATTTTTACTTAATGTCCACTGGGTGCAGCTGCGTGGTGTTCTGGCTCCATCAAACAATCTGCATTATGAATTTGCATTTAACTTGTTACTTCATTTTTATGTACATGAAACTAGTCTAAATCTGAACTATAACAACATGATGGAGCTGTGGTTCAACAAGGACTGCATCCAGTGGGCACAATGCTGGTAATGTGGAGCATTTCTGGCCATTAAATGGAATCCTGAGTGCCAAGAGTCCCCTGCGTTCAAGTACTGGTTGTCGATTTCCATTGGGGTTCAAAATAAGTTTTTTGGGGCATGGTATGCATTTATTAGAGAGACAACAATAGAGAGATTACAGGAAATTAGGGCAGAGGGAGATACAGGACATTGGTAAGCTCCTTGCCAACTTTTTTTGTGTTTTGCAAGCATATTGAAACATTGGCAGCTGATTCATGATCAATTTGGTAACTTTGTGGCTGTACTTTACTTATTTTAATTGCTGTACATAGCACATTGTCTTATTATTACTTTGTATCCATACTTTTTTAATAGTGTATATTCTGTATGTATGCATGCTGTATTTTATTTTGAAAATTGACCAGCTTTTCTATGCCATTTGTGTGTTTGACTTCCTGCCAGTGTGATCTGCTCTGGGCTGCTTGACCCGAGACTCGCAGCTTCTGTCAAAAGTAGACCAGATGCATATTCTACGCTGAGCAGAGCAGAGTGACGCTTCTGATGAGCGCGCCATAGATGAAATGTGTCGCAGACATGCCTGGTGGAATTTTGGGGTACATCAATGAGTAATCAAATGCATTAAAACATTAAATCAACACCCAGGTGATTTCTACACATTCACAAGTGAATTTTGTGTGTCAGAGGTGCAAGATGGTCTGGTAAAATTCACTATGTAAAGTCCCTATAACAGAGTGTCCTACATTAGCTGCTGAAAAGATAGTCCTGCTAGATGGTGGACATAGGTATGTTTCTAGAAGACCTAGCAGTAACCAGTGGACACTGGGTGTCTTTAGGGGTTAAGAGCTTTTATACAGAATACTAACTTGTCTTCAGCATCAACTCTTGTTACAACCAGAAGACTAAATACTACTAAATAATGTATGATGACCTTGAGTGGAGGTGTAAGGAGCAGGTTCAAAGGTGATTATGTAACAGGCAAGAACTATGTCGGCAAACATAACCTGTGTCAATGGAAAGAAAATAATATATATTTTTGGCATAAACCAACTCGTGCCCAAGTCATTCCTCATTAGACATTTGTCACATTGCTGCAGTATCTTATTCTACATGTCATTCACACAAGAAACATCATCAAGCATCAATATGTAACAGGAAACCATCATAGACAAAAACTCAAATCCCACCATTGATGGAAAGTGGCCAAACGGCCTCTCCTCTCGACTCTTTGCTGTGCTGATTAATTCATACTAATGTGAGCACCGTGCTCGTGCTTACTTATTGATGAGGACCATGTCAGGCAGCCAAACCTTCCCCGAGGGGATACGCAACACCTCAATCCCATCATTTTCCTTGGGTTTCCATGACAACCGGTGATCTGTCCATTCCTGTTAAAAAAAAAAAAAAAAAAAAGTGTTTCTGTATAGAAATGTGTGAATCATCCACAAGTACATGGAAAGATCAGGGATGAGAAGGGAAACAGAGAATGACAGAAGGGAAAAGCTTTGCATTTACAAATGTAGCCAATTTGTCATTTCATCAGTTTATTTTTCGTTTTTTCCGCTGCTGTAATTAGATTCCACAGGGACGAGTCCCCTGTGCATTTGTCCTTGCATAACAAAACAGCATTTGCATAAGTTGTCATTTTGCATATACTCTGTATTATTATGACTATTCCAAGTGTTCTCTCTTGGTTATTTGTGTAGTGCATTGGTACTGAGCTGTACATGAGGAAGGGGGTCTTATGGTAATACACTTTCAGCGGGGCTGGAGTCACGGATGAGTAGGTCAAAATAATGTGAAATAGTAAGAAGTTATTCACTTTCATTACTCTGTGTTAATGAAGACTGTGTGTAGGGCTTTCTGTTTCAGTAAAGCAACAGTCTCTTGCGTCTCACAACAAACTACACACAGATTGTCCATTGTGTGTTAGGAAGCATGGATGTTTACCACCAAAATGTCCAAAATGAACTCCAATCCTGTGGAACAAGCAATCAGGGGAGTAAATGCTGCAATGTGTGTTGAGAGGTGCTGACAAACTTACTAGATTCATGACAACAATTGTGCTCATCTCCTCATTTTTCATATTCTGCAACAAAAACACACAAAAGTATTTGGTTAATGCGTTATTGGTGCTTCTCGTAATGCTCATACACACATACGCACTCTGACAAAGTGGCATCTTCCAAGCACCACTCAGATAGAATGCACCAGAAATCCCATTATTACTTTTGGGTTTTTTTTACATAAATAATCCAAAGAAAAGTAATCACAGAATTTGAGAAGAGTCCAGCAGCAGCCTGGGAAACAATCTATGTTGTGAAATGTTTTATTGCATTTTACCCCCACACTCACATTGCCTACGTACAAGTATAACCAGAGGTGAGGTGGACTTGCAGTGATCTTTTCTGTGTCAAGTCTAATTTATCCATAGCACAGTGATGTTATGTTATGAGCTGTGGCCAGATTAATGTTACTGTTAGACTGTAAATGTAGTAAACTGTAGTCAATTCGCCGGAAACTGCTCTGCACAGGCCACAGCGGAAAAATCAGCTGTAGTGAGAACATCCACTTGCGCCACAGAAGCAAGGTAACGGTGGGTGTTCCATGAACGCTAACCCCCCTAAAGAGGCCTACCGGTAAATGATATGACCGTATGTGAGCGAACACTGTTATGGGTTTTGGGGTTATGTTGTGATTAGGGTTAGGATTGTGCTGAATCAGTGTACTGGCACCGTTTTTGGTCCAGTTCAGGCAATGTCGGACTTCTGTGATCATACCATACAGTACGTGGTTGCTAGGAGAGTTATGACACAAATTACAGAGTACAAGAGTTATGTTAGTAACCCACTGTAGCTCCAAACCAGCAGACAACACAGCTGATAGTCATGTGACATACTGGCTGGTTTGACAGCAATGGACACACTGCTTCCAGGACAGAGTTGGCTCTGGTAAAGATGTTTGCATACGAGTGTGTGTGTGTGTGTGTGATTGTCTGTCCAGCAGGAAGGTGGAGCTTTCCTGAGCCGGGCTTGCTATTTAAAACGCTGGGAGGAATGTCAGGGAGACAGCTGGGACAGGGACAGGGACAGGGACGGGGGGGGCTTGGGGTAGAGGGAGGTTGACTTAGACCATCTCTGTCTCTTTCTCACCCTCACACACACACCTGTCTCATCACTGACCTATCACTTACTCATACTTCCTGTAGCTGTTTGAACTCACCTCAGGATGGGGGGGAATGTTAATAATAACACTGCTGTTATCCAGCTGACTAGTTCTGGGCAGACGGGGGGGGGACTCAGCGTCCAAGTGGGTCAGTTTCCAACATCGTTCCCCTCCAGAACTTAAGGGCCCCACGTGACTTCCTCTCCAGAGTGAGACTGACCTTGAGTGGAGGTGCAAGGAGCGCTGTAGATGTGGACGTAGCTATGTGACACTGTGTGGATGTGTGTGTTGGTGTGTGCACACGGGTGCTACAGAGAGGAGAGCCAAGGAGAAATTAAGGAACAGATAAAGTGACCTGGTGTGTGTGTGTGTGTGTGTGTGTGTGTGTGTGTGTGTGTGTGTGTGTGTGTTTGAGTGTGTGCATTGTTACATTTTTATGCAGACACACAGGCAGTGGCCCAGTCAGTGCATGCTGCTGAAACACAATTTCCCAGCATTACTTCCCAATAGTAGCATGACTCTTTGTGCCGTTTGACTCAGCAGGCCAGCGAGCACTAAATTCAGAACCAGATGGCTCTCAGATATGTGTTGAATTAAAACTAGCACCACATTTTGTACTAAATGTTATGCTACATTTCGTTAACCTGTCACGTGTGACTATAGGAGTGTAGGTGGTCCTCAGCATGGAGAGCAACCACTGTGCTTAAAACCTTTACGGAGACATCTGTCTGTGGATTTTTAAATATGTATTTATCAGAGACAGAGCTGATTTTTTCTGGATAAGTAAGAGTACTGAAGCCAAGTAAAATGTCAAGTAATTAAGAGAGAAGCATGAACATGTTGAACAATGTTGTGTTTTGATGTCTTACAGTTCAATAAAGCTATAACTACCTTGCATACAGTACTAGCTTCAACACCATGACCCGCATGTTCATGAATGAAACCAGCATTCATTAGTCTACTTTCCATTGGCCAGAGTTTCCTCTTTAATCTTTTGCCTATTACCTACCTACCTGGTAACTTTATTTCGGCCTTCAAACCAGCCCTTCAACTAAGAAATGCTACCAGGACTTCAGTTCTAATTAGTTTTTTTCTGATGTCTGAAATATTTTGAACTCGGTGTAAAGTGACAGATATCCTGTAAGGAAACAGCACTTCTATTCTGCTGGCCTGTTTGTTCATATGTGGTAACCTGACTGTGCCAGATGGTTTATTACATACTCTGGGAAGAAGAAGATCACTTCATTAATCCCCGATGGGGACAATCTTCTTTCACTCAAATTTTTACAAAGATGGAGTGAGGAGCTGCCTTGAGTAGTGCCACGGGAGCAGTTAGGGGTTCAGTGCCTTGCCCAACGGCACCTCGGAAGTGCCCAGGAGGTGAACAGGCACTTCTCCAGCTACCAGCCCACATTCTATACCGTGCTCTGTGCTAGACTTGAACTAGCCACGCTACAGTTCCCAAGCCAAGTCTCTATGGACTGAGTTACTGCTGCCCCAAGTTGTCATCAGAAACTGTTTGGAAAAGGGCGGGCACTTTCAAAAAATGCTTGCTGATTGGTCCAGCATCGGCCACAAACCCATAGATTGAAGCCCACGTGTTTTTGTGATCAAAGTTATACATCTGTTGCTGTTTCTGGTTGTGAATGCATGTGTGTTTATATATGGAAGTGTGTCTCGGGACTCACCAGTCCGACGAAGGATGAGAGGACCATGCCCACACGAACCACCACCCTCTCTTCAGGGCGGGCTGCTGGCCGCACCTTGAGGTTGTAGTTTGAAAAGAGCGTCTTCATCAGAGCCTTCTCCCCATCAGACGCACCTGTATGACAGATATGATATGTTCAGTTATGACTTTAGGTTTCAAGCTCACTAATCCATTTGATTTTGTTAAGATTTATGAGAAACCCATTACTGGTAGTCTTTTTAAATGAACATCGTCAAATGAGGCTGGATCGTTCATTTATTATTTAAGTGCAGAAGCCTTGGTGGCAGCTGGGTATATGTTCACAACCCAATAACAGTTCTAACGTGGCTACTATTGCTCAAGTTAAAGCTCTTTATTGTTAACCAGATTCCATTTAAACTGTCCATTCCTTGTCTTTCTCACAGCTTAAAATTCATACAATGAACCCAAAAACTTTTAACTAAAGTTTCTGCCGGGTGCTTTGTGAAAAAACCCACTCACAGTGGTGACAAGTGTGGGCGAGGCGAACTGATTGGCAGGCAAGGTGTGTTGTGCATTAAAATATGGCTGAGTCAATAGCGCACAGTGAGTAGATGCTTCCCAGAATTAGTTATTATACGAGGCTGTGTCGCCCTGCAGCAGATAGCCAGACTAGTTGTAGCTAAATTAGGGGAGTGAGAGATCAAATCTGCGGATATTCAAACAAACATAATCAATGAAACATCCTCCTGATCCTCTGGCCTCACCACCCACTCACACTGACGGCAAAGCCCACGGACAAAGCAACAGGTACACATTCAATTCAAGTGAGTGTTGGGAGGGAAAGAGGGTGGAGTGGTGGCTTGTGGGGGGATTTCATTTGCTGTAGAACTTGATATCATCCTTCCTTATCAACCAAAACATGAAAACAAGAATCTTTGATGATAGTCAAAAACGTTTTCCTTGTGCCAACATCTATTTGCATCAGTAAAAAAGTAGATCCAGTAAGTTTTATTACAAAATGTGCAAATTCAGGATGAATATATAATAAGGAAAACATAAAACTAAGCATAGCTAGATCATCCTAAATGTTACACACTAGACTTTTAGCACTATTGCAACACGTATAACATATAAAAACTATATTTAAAAAATCCATATAATAAATACCCTTAGACTTAAATGCGTGTGTATTGCCTGCAGACTGTTATATTACCCAGTAGCAGTTTTGGTTTGAAGTCTCTCTTCAGGCCTTTAAAGTTGTGAACCTACCAAAACCCATTACCCCTTAGATTCCACAGCATTTTCAGCTTTATTTCCACCCATTTTTTTCCTATTTCCTCCTCAGTGTTGGAAGGTTAGAAGCATTTATAATCAGCAGCTCTGGTGACGCAGCATTCATCACGTTTGGCATAGCTGTGGGCCCGGCAGGATCTGACCTGACAGGAATAAATGACAACGATCACCCAGCGAGGCACCCCCATTAGCTAGGCACAGGGAAGCATGGCTGCTGACGGCCAAGGCTGCGTGGGAGGTGGCTGCAGAGGGATGGAATTTAGCATTTTCTCTGTGCCCATTTCAGATTACTTAGCAAATAAGTCAGACTCAAGTAGAAATCAAGTCCAGTGAGATCAGATGAAGCGAGGCCACACTGAGGGCTACTGTTGAGCATTTGAAGGATGCTTGCAATAGACATGAGTGACAGTAATAAAAGAGAGGCAAATTTGAATGGTCATTTTGAAGCGCTGCTCTTCTGGAAGAATTTATGACTCATCCCACTTGAAAAGGCACTTAAAATGTACTTTCAGCTGTTTTCCTTCGCGATAACTTCACTAAAGGCGAGTGAGTGTACTTACTGAGTAGCGATAAACATGACTTTAAAACTGACAATGACAGCAGTGAAGTTCAATATGAGCTATATTTTCCTCTGAGTGGTTTGAGTGCACTGTTTCGGTCCAGAAACCAGAATGGAAAATATGAAATCAGCTGCCTGTAGACAAGGAAGTCATTGATTTCTCTGAAGAAATGGATGACACTAAACTGACATTGATTGTTTATGGCTTTAGTGGAAGTTTACAACTGCTGTGAGAGCTACACAACACCAATGGTTCCTCAATTTCATGGCTGGACCAGTTTGTTACCTGACTGTGCAGCTCTATTATCAGTGTTGACAGACTGATGAAATAAATCCTTAAAGACCATCTGACAAAATGCCAGTCCTATCAAAATGTTACCATTTTCTATAGAAATGTGTATGTTTTGTTTATGTTTTTATGGTACTGTAAGGTGCTGATGGTGGTAAACCCTTACAAACAGGATGGAAACCAGTAGCAGTGAGGTGTATGGCGAAGTGAGCAGCATCAGTAAAGCAGGATCTATTTTAATCAGAGCTCTGATATTTACTAGTGTCCTTAAACAAGTTGCAAAAAGGCTGATTGATAACAAGAGTAGTGTTACAGGTGCTCTCCTCTCCCCCTCTCCCACTGGCATCTACATCTACCATCACCATTCTGCAGTGAAGGGCACACTAACGCTCCCATAATAACTTATAAAGAGGTATTTGTTTGTTTTAATCCTTAGCCATATTTCCTTAGATGAAAACACACCCCTGGAAGCAGTCCTCAAAGACAGAGTGGTTAGTTGGGGTTTCAAAATAAAAGCACCACATAACAAAAAAAGGTTTTGTTTTTTTTTTTCACCTCAGTAAGGCTGATGCTTTACTACTCCCTCACCGGTACCTAATGGAATTGTTTTAATCTGATATGGTACATGACATTTTCAGCCATGCTAAAGGTACGGCTCTATAGATATCAGTTTGGTCCACCAGTTTGGTCCAGTTGCACTTGAATAGAGGGAAAAAAACAAAATTGCTGTCCTTTATTGACATATATCTCACAGCGAATGTTTAAATTTGGTTAGCACACGGTTGTTTAAGGCTTGACATCTGGGCTGGTGTCTGTGCACATTGTGGAGATTGCACCCCAGGCTTACAGAGGGGCTCTGGGAGCATGACAGCAGCTGGCTATTGTCACTGGCATCCTAATCAGCCAGGTGAGGTGCACTTACACACACAAACACATGCACAGCAGCATCTTTGCTTGTTAGAATAAACATGAATAAATAACCTAAACTGTATGTGCGTTTTGTGTGCAGCTGGAGTTAATAGGCTTAGACTTGGTGATGCTTGGTTATGATCATATGCGGCCCCTGTTGCTTGGTCTGTCTGGAGCTCTGGCAGTATTACAGTCCTTTCTGCTGCCTCTATGCCCCGAGAGGCCACGGTAACTTTACATTCTAATGGGCAAGGAGCAAGAGGCTCGAAAAAGCAAGAACTACACACAGCACTTATGCCAACAAATTGACTTTCTCTCTTTGGTTTAAGCAAGACATAAGGTGAGTAAAACATCTTGTAGTTTTTTTAAATCAATGCTACATTAAAGTACCCGTGTGTAGGATTTAATGGCATTTAATTGCAGATTATTGCAGAAATTGTGAAAGGACCTATGTGGAGCCAGTGTTTGGTTTCTCCTTTCTTAACTGTATAAACATGGCGGTTCAACATGGCGGACTCCGTGGAGGGTGACCTGTGGCCTCTGTAGAGAAAAACAGCTCATTCGAAGGTAAGAAGAACAAAATGATTGCTATATTCAGGTGATTATACACACATAACAACACAAAACACAATATAAATATTATATTCCATTTCTTTAGGTAACCTACTGTTCTCTGTGTAGTGACACCTTCCAGACTAAGAAGAAGAAGAAGAAGAAGAAGAAGAAGAAGAAGGAGAAGATATACTTAATCCCCTAGGGGAAATTGTTCATGTATCTCAACAACAATTGAATCAATTGCCATTAAATTTAATCCAGACATTCCTGGTCGTCAGAGGATGAATCATCATTTTTGGAATCCCCTGACTTTTCCTTTAGCGCCACTACCAGGTTGAGACTTTTGGTTTTAAGTCAAATATCTTGGCAGCTATTGGATGGATTGCCACTGAATTTGCTACTGATATTTCAGATCCAGAGAGGATGAAATCAAATGATCCCCAGCATTTAGCTCAAAGCACTGCTGTGTCTAAATACAGCCCTGCACAGCATAATAGCCTATAATATTCCCATAGGTGTGTTTACTTACAAGGCATTGTAAACATGTTTGTGTTAGTTGTGTTGTGTTTCCAATAATGAGTATATTTGCTGTAACTATGTTAACTGTATTCAGTTTGTCATTGAGGCTAAAGGAAAGGCAATCATAAACACTAAAGCAACAAGAAAACATTAGCCTAAGCATTATCCTTCAAGAAATATATTTTACATGGGTTAGACCTGCATTGCCAAGCCCCGTGGACTATGTGTAGTCTGTATCTCCACCTTCTCCAATTAAAATATATCACTATTGTATACACAATGCAATTCCTAAGATATTTCTCTGGTGGCTTCCATGTTAATCTGCTATTTTCTTGTGGGTTCTAGTGAACGTTAGGTAAGCGTTTTTTCCATGTGACATTAATGTTGTATTCATGTAAGAGCTTTGACTACTGTCTCTATTACATGGGTAGACTCTGCCTTACCTCCCAATGTGCTCAGGCTGCATAAGCAACCAGCCAGCAGGAGCAGATCCAGGCTTTTCATGGCGACCCCTAAAACCAAAAAAGGCCTCTCGTCTGCAAAACAGATCGGCAGTCGATTAATCCAAGTTCTTAAATGTCTCTTTTTTTCCCTTCCCTTTCTTTCCCAGTGCAACTCACTGCAGCTCTTCAGTGTAAGTCTTGGTTTGGTCAGTTTGGACTGTTGTTGTCTGTCAGTCAGGCCAGCCTGGCCAACTGCTGTCTTCTCCGATTACATCCTCGGGGAGGGGTAGTTGTGTGCCACTGTTCACCCCCCTTCACTGTGGCCCAGGCTCGACTCTAGCCCAATGAGACCTTACTGGCACACTTACACTGGTTCTCAAACTGTGGCCGAGGTACCCGCATGAGTCCTTGTAGGGTTTCCAGACAGGTCCTCAAGGAAAGGAGTGACAGCTAAGTTTGACTGATATTTCACTGGAGGATTGTGTAGTGATGTGACTGTAAAGGAAAGACTGGTTTGATAAGAGGCCTTCCAGTTCAACCAGATATTTAATCACACTGTCATTCTGACAAAGCTAGAGTTTACTGAGTTAATTTACAACCCCACAGACCTTACTTCTCAATGCCACAAACAATGACTAATAAACCAGATCAATAGAGGAGGGTATGCTTGGAAAATGCTGGTAATGACTACTTTGAATAAGGTCATATCTAAGTGTCTTTCACACTCAGTGAAAATGTGATTGGTTCAAAGGGGGTCGGCATCGACAGACATTATTCTCATGGATTCTCATTATGTTTGCCCATGCAGTTAAATAAACACATGCATACATTTACAAGTGAGTGATAAATTACCCTGAGCTTTCTAGCAATGTGTGTGGCCAAGAAACCGATCACCTCGTGGCTAAAACACCTCGCAGCTGATGCCACATGTAAATATAGAGAAACTATGGTTTTTCACATGGTGTCTGGTTCCTGTTCCTCTAGAGAGTCGGGATATGAAATTAGCTTGGCCATCTTGTACAGTCTACTACTGTAATAACAGGACATATAGAGGTGATACAGCAGCCATTATTCTTACAGTATAACGCTAAGTTGATCAACCCGTTTAACTGCCACACACTGTTGTATTTTTTGAAGGACCCAGCAGTAAAACATCCTCCCAATATCCCTTCCACTCATCCCTTCATGCCACTCTGCTCTCACTCACATTCATTGGCCATCCACGCCACCGTAATTTATGAGCCCCTGTCACTGCCATTTGGCCTGCCGCCAATTTAATTACCAAAGAAGCTAACTATTAACAGCTAGCAGCCAGTGTCAAGTCACACATCAAATCTGTGGTCATGAGGGAGTGTATAAAGCCCCTGTTGGCCGTGGCTCAAATTCAGGGATCTCTCCCAGAGCAACCATAATAGATCACTGTAATACAGAAGTAAGTAGTTAAGTAAAATTAGATTGATTGTTGTTTACCCATGATTGGTATTTTCATGGGTAATGACGATTATAGTAATCAGATTACATAAAAAGTTGATGTCACTATAAGTGTTATACAGTTGATGTTGGAGAGGATCATTATATGTTTAGAATAATGTAAGGTGACAAGGTGGACAAGACAAGGTGTCTGTAATTGTGTTAAAAGCGAGTGATCACTCTCTCTGATCACTGAATCCAATTATTGAACACAATAACCGCAGGAAGTTTGTGTAAAACGAGCGATTTGGATACATTCTGAGCAGATTATTTCCTCTTATTATTGCATCAGTGATGAGTTTTCCTGGTGTTTTTGGGAACTAATTTAACAATCATACATACTTAATAGGCTTCTTTTTTGACAAATTGTTTTCTCCCCGACACTTGACCATTGTTCAGTTATTGGTTGTTTTAACTTTTCTAATGCAGGACGAGGCTGTTTGAAGGCTCTGTGAATATAGGTTGTGTTCATCTTAAAAGTTTAGATCTTAAATTATAATCTAAACTTTCAAAATAACAATTTAATTTAGTTTTCTGCAATTAAATAAGCAAAATGCTGATATATAGGCCTACTCTGTATTTTTTTTTTTATGTTTTCTTGCACCCCTTAAAATCAAGAAGGCCTTGGGACCCCTAATGCGGGTCCCAACCCCCATGTTGGAAACTACTGCTAAAGTAACATGTAATATATGTTGAGGTTGGCTAAGTAACAGATCTTTTCCTAAACTTAAACCTAAACCAGAGTAAGTACAGTAGGTTTTGTGCCTAAACCTAATCAAAGTCCAAACATTTTACAATGTTAAATACAAGCTTTATTTTGAAAGTCCAACTGTACCTTGACCGCAGAGCTCTGCATGTTCATTAATGATGCAAGAAAGGCGCCTGTATATTTTGAAGGGGCGGGCCACTGATCAAGCGGCGGTATTTGATGAGCTGGGAGTGAGAACATGTTGTTGAAACAAGGAATGGGTAAACACAAGTGGTTGCCACAAAGATGGAAGCACACTATTGTCTAAATTACCATTGTATGCTGCAGCATCTAATACGCGGATGCCTGTGGAATGATGTTATTTGATCCCTGGACAATCAACAGTTGAGCCAAAGTAGCCTAATATTGCTGTCCTAAGGCATTTATTAGTTTCTGACATATAATAATAATAATAATAATAATAATGGAAATAAAATACTGTATCTCTGAACTGTCTCTATAACCAAATCACACACATTTGGGCTGTTCTATGTGATCTCCTTTTGACAACTAATGTAATAACTAATTCACTTCCATTCACTGAGCCTCCCCTGAATCTGATTGGAGCCCCCCTGGGGAGGCCCGCCTCCCACTTTGGAAACCACTCATATAGTGTAATCACAGTATAATTCGGTCCCTTATACTGACTTGTAAACAGATCCAGTTTTAAATGTGAAAATGAAGGTTTTACGTGGTTGTAATTACATTAAAGAAAACTCTCACAGACCAGTGTTACAATCATACAAATATATTAGTTTGTTTTATTCAATTATATCCAATAATACGTCTCCCTTGACTTTGTGTAAGTTATTATAGAAATAAATACAGATCATATTGCAAATGCAGAGACAAGAGTTTGGGATAATAGAGTGTTGAGGGAGGGGGGGGAGGGGATTGAGGGTTTAAAGGGGTTAAAGAGTAAATACTGGGTAAAGACTGTTTCTTTGAAGGTGTCCAGTAAATGATTGGCGCATGCATGCTTGTAGTCCCGCCCGTCTGTGATCCTCTACCTCAACCCAGGAGTTTTAAAACAGCAAGTCCCACGGCTCTCTGTAGTCCTTTATAGCTCTTTTCTCCAAGTGACCCATGGGTTTGGATGGCGTATAGTAGTTGTGTTATTCCACCTTGCCAGCAACAGGGGGAGTTATTGCACCCCAACCACATTTGCATGGATATATTTATATATAGAGATATATAGATATATTTTTTGCCCCATTTGTATACAAAAATAGTGTCATTGTGGCTTTGATAGCTGGAAGACTGAAGCACTCTTTTTGCATTTGGAAGACAGGAAGGAAAGAAAGATTATGGTGATTTCCTTAAAATCTTTTCTTCTGGAAGACTTTGTCACAATAACTCGGATCGTCCATGCAGTACAAAGATGAGCAAAAAAAAAAAAAACAGTCAAAAAATCCTTCGAGGATCGATCACCGGATCACACACACAGGTAGAAGATGTGTTTATGTGTGTGTGTGTGTGTGTGTGAGACAGACGGTGAATGAGCAGTCCACATGCTGCCGGTGAGCCAATTAAAATCCCCGTTAAGAGATCAAAGGTCAGAGGTCGGTCTTTGATTAACAGGCGAGTGCTGGAGGATTGTGGGGGATCAGGAGGAAGAGGGTGGAGCCCCCCACAGTCTCAGCATACTTAATGTCTTCCTCTCTTTGTAGATTACTCAATATCCCACATTATGTGACAGGAGAACGGACACGGATATGCATTTAAACAGCAAAATAAACACATCAAATCAACAAAGACACATGGACGGACCAACAATGATTCATATAGGGCGCTACAATGGATACCAACACCAATTCCTCATACCGTTTCATTACAAGTCACAGAACTTCCACTGAGAAATACCCAAAATACAATCCATACTGTTTTTTTAAAACAAAAAACACTCAAAAAGGGGTAAATAAAGACATTTTAGCATAGTGTATACAATGTAAAGTCACCACTAAAACATTGCTGGTGCATTAGCTTGTGAGAGGTGAAGTCCCTCCATGATCTGTTTGTAAAGGTCACCCCATTTAGCCACATCTGCGCTGCCTTGGTGCAGGGTGCTGTGTGTGTGAGTGCAATGCAGATGTGTTCAGGGACTGTTGGTGTGCTTTTTTTAAAAAAAAAAAAAAACACAGCCTGGTTTTTTTATATATCAAGTTAATGTGCTGGTTAATACTGTACAGGATGTGACATTCGTTGCTCGGGCTCCGGATTCCAATATAAAAGCACTTTTTATGAAGCGGCTAAAAAGGAAAATAAAAAAGAGAGAGAGAGAGAGAGAGAGGGAGAAAATCTGTCCGAGGACGGCGTCACTCTTTTGTCACGTGAGCCTCTCTCTCTTCCTCCCTCTCTTTTTTGTGTTTTCTGCTGCATTGCAGATGTGGTGGAGGGACTCCACCTCAAAGTAGTGCACACACACACACACACACACACACACACACACACACACACACACACACAAACTTAAACAGCAACCCAGCTCACAAAAAGGGCAAAATGTAAGAAAAATAAAAGCTCTAATAAAACACGCAGTTGGTTTCTATATCAATATTAATCCTTTTTTTTTCACACCCTCCCAGATAATGTGGCTGCACCTTGTTAATGGAGTTTATTGCTTTCTGCCCAAGGACTCGTGCTCATTGATTTGGCCTCTGATTTATCCTCTATTTTGTCTCTCTCCCTCTCCCCCTGCCTATACTTTACTCCCTCTCTTCTCGCATACACATAATGGACACAGAGATATTCAATCACAGTTACACAACGATTACACACAAAGACCAAAGCTGATGAGTGAAACCTAGAAAACACACGCCAGAGCACACACACACTGTGTGCGCACACTCACACGCATGCACATACATACTGCCGCCAGGTTAAAGGGAAGTTGTGTTTGCAAAAGAAGGGATCGGAGGGAGGAAGGGGAACTTCAAAGGGAGGCTGTGAGGGCACAAATTAGCTACACTAAAGTATGTGACACATGCTTCTCTCTCTCTCTCTCTCTCTCTCTCTCTCTCTCTCTCTCTGAGTCCTTCACAACCCCGGATGACCCTGCCTGCAGTTGTAATTCGCTCAGTAAGCAGGGAGGGCCCTGACTTGGAAGAAATGGGAGGGAAGGGAGTCCCCCGGGGAGAGAGGGTGTGTGTGTGTGTGTGTGTGTGTGTGTGTGTGCGTGATGTGTGAAGCACGCAGCTGAATCAGATATACATCATTTAACCCCCTTCGATATCCACACACACACACACACACATTCACGTACACACCTCACCCGTCTTTTTTTTTTATATACACCAAAGAAATGGCGTTGCTAAGCCCACTAAAGGGCCAATATTTAACATTTAAAGCTGACTCCAGGAGCATTTATCAGCGAGTTAAAAGCAGTAAATTCAGCCACGGGGGGGTGGGGGGGTTTCACTAATCAAACGTGTGCTCGGATAGACGGCCGCTGAGATGAATGGCAATCTTTACATCCTGTAATTCACACGGAATCGTTTGAAGTGAAGCCTGAAGGCCGGAGAGCAGACAGGCTGGAACAGAGAAGCTGATTTCAGACTCCACAAAGAAATCACAGCAGAGACAAATGGGAGAGTATGATTACTGCAAACACACACACACACACACACACACACACATGCAATCATGCAAACTTTCCAATTCAACCACACAATAAATGACTTTGTAATTCTACCGTTCTGCAAAGTGAAATCAATACCACTGCAAACAGGGTGGGATATACATTTCCACGCCTCCTCTTTTAAAGTCTTTACCCCCACCAAATAACTCTAACATACTGTTCAGAAATGAGGATATTCAAATAACAGTCTGCAAACTGGAATAAAAAGCTGATCTATCAGCATCTTCTGCAGTGGCAACAGATACTGATGACTGATGCAACTTTAAGTGGCTGATGGATCATTTGTATTGTTTTACATTTAATCAGCGAGTCCACACATAGCATGAATATCTCCGTTAACTGAGATATGAATCCATCGCTCACTAGATGTCAGGGTTGACTGACGCTCAGTCTCGAGATCTGATGGCTTGGTTTAATAAAATCTTGGCTCTCGTTGCTTTAAAGTCACTTTAAAAACAGAAGTTTGAGGCAGGAAATGAGATGATTGTAGCCCTACAAATATTGCAAACAAATTGAGCCATCTAATTCATGCCCTGTTCTGTAGAAATGCCACCTTGTGTGCTGTTATTTTTTGCATCAGTACAGGCATATGCATCAACAGAAAGTAATACTGCACTTATTTTGAGGGTTAAAGGGGCTCTCGAGCTATTTAGTATTGCACTTCCATAAAGTTTGGGCACTCACAAGAGTCACACCTGAAGCAGCAGAGGCCAAGATATCCTGACTTTTAGAGTCAAGCTCCAAATATGCTGCATCCTACATTTCCCATAATGCATCTTCCACTAGAATCTCTGTGCCTCCTAAATGCTCACTTATTTTAAACCCCTCCCGTCTGTAATGCAGACTGTTAAAAATTCAGGATTTCAACCCAGTCTGAAATTACCATGACGTCATCACGGTTTTTCTGTTTCGAAGCGTGTTCAAACAGAAGGCGGGGCCAATTTTAGATGCGGTGTGATTGCACATTAAGTCAATGGAAAGACACGAGTGGGCATGAGTGTGTTTGGCAAACTGAGCCAAAGACAGGTTTGTTCAAGATAAAAAAATGTGAGCGAAGAATTTGTGCTTATGCCGGGCTATATGAATCTAATGGAAAATAAGAGAAAGAGCTGGAGTTCTTGATGAATTCTGAGCTCAAACACAAGCACGCACTGACCGGGCGCACGGTTAGTTGCTACAGTCAGTACAGCCTGTACAGGCCTGTTTAGGATGAATAAGTGGGACTGCCCATCTTTCCGACGGCCCATTATTCTGAAACCCCAATAGTACGAAAAATGCCCCATTTGACCAAATGCCAATTTATCTGACAGGCTGTTATTCCAAAAACAAAAGCTGACTGCTCCGAAGGCCCAAAAATACAGATTTTTTTTCCTTAATATTTTGAATATCTTGGATGGCAGAAAAGTCCGTTCACCTCCATCGTCATGGTAAAAATAATAAACGTGGTTAAGTCACGGTCACGGTTTGGTAAGGCATCAAAACTACTTGGTTAGGTGGAAATGATCATGGTTTGGGATAAAATAAGTTAGTTAAGTCACATATATAAGTTGGTGATACCTAGAGTGAGTATTTTCAGAGCAATGGCCGTATTCTGAATAATGGGCTGTTGGACAAATGAGCTTTCAGTCCAATGGGACATATTTTGAACTGTTGAGATTTTGGAATAATGGGTCGTCTGAACAATGGTACAGCCCCGAATGAACACCGATAGCACAGGCAGCCCAGTGGCCAAATCTGTTTGAATGACGTGGGTTTCTTTTGCTTCACTTTCTGTCTGAACACACCTTTAGAAAACTCCCTTAAGAGCCACAGAAGGCATTTTACCTTCCTCATGATGCGTAACCTGACCTTTATATCTAAAACCAGTGTGTGCCTCTTTAACCCTTCCTGTGTGCATGATTGATACATTGCCACACTTTTTTCATTTTTTCCACAGTCCTCATTAATTGCTAACTAAAATATTAGCCCCTAACGCGCCTTAACAGCTGCTTTTCTTTTCAAAGTCGAATTCTGAAAAACAACAAACATGACACACACATAAGAAAATATTGCAACATAGATTTCCCAGCCCTTAAAATACAGTAGTAGTCACAGAAGTCGTGTTTGTGTCTGTTTGCTGAATTCCTCCTCCTCCCATTTAATCTCTATATCTAGTCCCAGACAGACCTAATTCTATTCTAGTCGGCACAAGCCTGATTTAATTATATTTGTGTAATTACTTTGCAAATAGCACTCAAACATCGTGTTCTGGATTAAGCGATCCATAGGGGGGGTGACGGGTCAGACACGCCGACCTGAGGGTCTATTTAACAGTTTAATTAAGGTTTTCAGTGTGTAAGTGTTAACAGTAGCTTGCGTTAAATAAATAAAGAATAATAATGGGAATAACTGATGGGTTGCAGTTCATTGAACTCAAAGTTTCTTTTCTTCATTTCTCACAAGTCATTTCTTTGTTATATCACTCATCTTTCTCCTTACTTCCTTTTCTCTCTCAACCTACCTCTTTTCATCCTTCTCACCTATCTTCCTCTCCGAGGGAAAGCAGAGGTAACGTTTGCTTCATCTCTCAGGTAGCAGATTACTTTGCTCAGCGGCTCGCCTCCATTCTGTGAGGGGTTATCGGCTATTATTATTTACAACCAGAGGTTACAGGGGAGCAGAAGATTATGCGTGAAATGAGAAGTGTGTGTAAGTGTGTGTGTGCGTTAAAGGGAACTCTGTCCGCATTACCATAATTTCCCCTCGAAGCTCTTCTTCTTCAGCTCATCACCGCAAATGATTTCCCCTAAAAATCTCTCTCTTTCTCCGTTTTCTTTTCTTTGGTGCGTCCCTCTCTCTGAGCCCTGATCATCAATCTGGCCTCGCCTCCGCCTCCTGAACACACAGGACTCCCTTGCTTCCCACAATACATAAACATTAGGCAGAAACAATTACGCTGCCTGGCATATTGTACCAAGAAAGTTTGATATGAAAAATGATTGCTTTTGGTGCTGAATGGAAAGAACAAACGCAAACGCACAAAACAAGGCCTCCTGAACGAGGCTGGTAAATATTTTAAATAGTTACTTTCTTTACCACGAGGGTCTATCAGATAAACGCTGAAAAAAATGTGATCACATCTATCTTTATATTTCCTCTTTTATAATCATCATCCGTCTTATGTACGACCACTATCAGTTACATTACGTAAATATGACTTTGGTTTCTTATTTTTCCTCCTGACAAAACACAGTAATTCTATGAACTTTCAAATATGACAAGTAAAGAAGGCTTGAATTCCTTTGCATCATAACCAAAGTCTTCAGGAGAGATTCATGGTGATTCATATAAACACATTTAGAAACAGATTAAGATTGGATTTTGAATGAAGTAAGGGTTAGGGTCAGTTGTAAGCAGTAGAAACTAGCATCTTTTTAGTGAATGTGTGAAAGCGTGTACGGTGTTGTTGCATGTCATGGGCCGAGGTGCTCAGCTGACTGGTCCATGCGTAAATAAAGATTTAAAGGACCATTCCAGTCATTTAGTGTTGCACTTCAATACCATTGGGGGACATGCAAGAGATAGATTCAAAAAAAGAATGGTTAAAATCGAAGGAGCAGAAGCTGAGAATTCCTGACTTTAAGTCCCTAGTATGGGTCAAAGAAACAAAAAACACCGGATCCTACATTCCCCATAATGCAGTGTGACTGCATCTTTCATTAGACCCAAATCAGGGAAATGTTGTTACTGAAAGCTTTGGGCTCAGGTATTTTTAAATGTAATATATTAAAGGGAAACCACCAATTGTACACATCGAAGTCTGTTTACAGATGTTAGGGCGTACTACTGCTTCCGTGAAATAAGTTGTATTAAAGCCTTCTGTGGCTCCTGAGGGAGCTGTTGTAAATCTGATAAACTGCTGCTTGAGTCACCCTTAGGGCTGAATACGACACGTTAAGACAAAATCAAAAGAATCTCGGGAAGAAAGAAGTGACCTCTGTAGTCATCACTAGCTTGTTGCTAGTAGCTCGAGGTCACATTAGCGGCTACTAGCATAACAAACCAGAATCTCCAACCAAACTAGAAAGTGTTGTATTAGCCTAACAGTCAGTAATGAATAATATTAAGCAAAAATATAGGTTTTGTATGCGGGTACAGCCCAGGTTTGGGTGTGAGTTTTAGGTGCTGTACTCAAGTTTGCATTGCAGTCTTTCAGTTAGACTTTAAGGTCTTCAGTCCCAACCCTTCATTTCTAAAGTGCTGTCACTGGAGTCATTTACTCAGATCTGAGAAAGTTCCTATAAACTATTCACCATACAACTGTTTTCACAGACTGAGTAGTACTCCGAATGACTTGTACCGTTAACATGTAAAATAAGTGGAGTGCCCCTTTAAAAATCCATCACATACAGTTCCATACAGTAAATATTTCTGGCATGGGGGCAGAGATGGGGTAGCATGGAATCTGCAGAAACTGTTATCATATGCAAAAGCTTATATATTGTTTTAATTCATTAGAAGGTAGTAGCACAATGTGGATGCAATAATTCAATAAAACAAAGATCAGTATTTTTAGACAAGCACACCACATTGAAAGATCCAGGGTCCACAGATACTGTGTGGGCCTCAGGGGTTTGTGCAATGCATGGCCAGCCACAGTGAAAAAAGCTATTGCAGTGCAATCACAAGCCACACAGTCAGGCTCCATCAGTACCCCATCTCACTGATGATATCCTCATCATCTCCCAGAACCTGCACACACACTCACAACCGCGCCGACATGTGCATTTGTGAGTGTGTGTAATGCATGTCATTGTGTTAAGTGTGTTAAGTCGTGAGATCATTTTCTGCGGTCGTCGCTCATGGATATCAGGGTGCTAAAGTGTGTGCATACCTCGGCGTGTGTGTGGGTAAATGTCAGTGTAGTAATGAGCGTGTGTATGTGTGTGTGTGTGTGTGTGTGTGTGTGTGTGTGTGTGTGGTTACGCAGTGTGCTGAGGGAGCTCTTGGCCCCTCGTTTAAGGGTCGAAAGATTCTGATCAGCCCCAGACTCCATTAACAGAGCCGGAGAGGACGGGAGGGGTTTTCTTGTGCCGCCGAGTGGAAAATTGAGTCCATGTCACAAACTAATCAAATCGCGCCAAAGGTGAATGGAAGAAGAAGGGAACACACTTGCACACAAACACACACAAGCAGGGCTGACAAGTATCCAGGCCATCGCACAAAGTCGCTGACACACGCAGAAGATGTGGAGTGAGCAGATGGCTGCAGAACAAAAGTCTGCAAGGGTCTCTGCGACGGCCTCGCATTAGCATGGCTCTGTGTCAGGCTAACATTAGCATGGAACCCCGCGGGGAAATAAAAACACGACCCATTTGTAAAGTGTGTGCTGCCGAGGGGCGGATGAGACCGTTGCACCCGTTGTGGTAAAATCAGGAAGACTCTGCTCGGATATTTGGTTGACTGGAAGGACGTCGCTGATGGCGGCTAGAAGGTGTGTGGGATTTCCTTCCAGCAGGTTAAACACGCTGTGGTGACATGCTATACGATGCTAGTTCACCTCTTCATGGAGTTATTGCTTTTAAATCCCAGGCTTTGATAATCACAGAGGTTATTAAATCAGAAGGTGGAGGGCTGGTGTGGATGAGGGAGGGGGGGGGATCTGTGAAGGTAAAAGGGGCTTCCCATTGGCCAGCTTCACTCTGCATGAACCTGCTCTTTTTCTCCAACTTTACACCATTGCATTGTGGTACGCAGAGTTCTCGTGGGGTCAGTGTTGCAGGCAGCAGGTGTGTGTGTGTGGGGGCATAGCCCTAACAACCCTGGTCAGGTGTTCGCTGGTGCCCAGTGCCCCGTGTCCTCCACCATTCCTCCCACCTGTGTCTGTGAGCGCTAGGAGGAGGAGGTTTTGGTTTTGGATTGAGGGTCCTTCTTCCCGTTCTGGAGCACGGGCGAGTCACTGGAGGTCTTGGGCGTTTTTCTGGGCGGGCTTTGCTCAGCGACGTCGTGTAGAGAGGGCTCCCTGTACATGGCCACTGGGGAGGGAGAAGGATGCAAATAGTTCAGAGTGGGTAAAGACGAGTGACAATATAGGTGCAAGACTTCACTGTGCAGGGTTATATCCTAATTTTCTTAACAGTTTTAGCACTTGCTATAAGTGCCTTTAGATGTGCAGTAATGACCTACATTTCTGTTAGCCCTTGTGTCCTTTTAAGTGTCTTTAACCTCCTTTATTTAACATAAAAAGTTAGCTTGTAATAGATAGGGAAACAGTAGCAGACAAAATAATATAGAGGAGAAAACCCAAAGTATCCTGATGCTGGATTACTCCCGAACTTCTATGTTAAAGCTGCACTGATTCATATCTGCATATAAATAATGGAACACGGGTCATTCGTCGTGACGAACACATGATTTCTCACCACCTCACCTCTAGTAAAATAGCGTTTTAGCGTCTTTCAGCCTATTGTTTTGGTTTTACAGCCCCAGCTACACTGTTTGGTCAGCTGTTTGCAGGGAAAACACTGTATACTATCTGCCCAGCTAGCAATTGTTTGGGGGTTATTATTTAGGGGCAGTGTTCCACACAAAAAAAATCAATTAATGCAGCTTTCACAAGTTCAAAATATTTTAGTTGGGAGCAATACTATCTCTCTGCCTTGTGCTGCACCTAGGATTAGATTTGCAAACAACGATCTTTATCTTAGACAAAATAAGGTAGATGCTCTAAAAAAAAAAAAAATATTTTTAAATGACTAACCAACTGTAATATGAATAATAATATGTAATACCTTACAATGTTTGTAAATGTGCTATGTAAAGATCAATATCATAAAATATAGTGAATACTGGACTGCATGTGATCTACAGTTACAGTTTATTAAATTAGAAATATATAGAAATATATATATATATATATGTTTTACTTCATTAAAATAAATGTACAGTACTTATGTTTTACTTCATACTTCTACTATACTACATTTCAGAGATAAATCTTGTACTTTTTAATCCATGACATTTATTTGACAGGCAGCTAATTACTTTTCAGATTATGATTTGACATACATTTATAACATAATATAATTTCCATTTACTGTTTTCAAAGCCAAGATTAAACTTTGATGCTTAAATAATATGTAGAAAGTTCATAAAATCTTTGACATTTAAGGCTCTAAAATCTTATGCTGACTTATCATTTCAAAAGTCTTTGCTACACAGGAAGTGATGTGTTTTACTTTTCCAGTATGTTTGGAAGAAAAAGAAAAAAAAAGATGGTGACAAAATAAAAGCACTGAGCGTCTTACGGGATTACACTCAGCGTGTTTTTCCATCAAGTCAGTTTCCTGTTGGTGGAACAGGCCTATCACTGACCCCTGCCTCCGGAGCAGCCTATGCAGTATGTATCAATCCGCAGTACCTTCAATGAGTTTGGGCAGGAAGTGCGCGGCTCCCTTCGTCTTCTTGACGCGGTTCCCTTTCATGACCTGTCCGTCTCGGTTGATACCGATGTACCACGCCCGGCCCGACTGGGTCTGTCTGTACAGGATGGACGAGTAGGTGACGTAGTAGTTCTCAAACACAGACTCCTTAAACTTACACTCGGGCGTGAAGTGTTCCTGAAAGACACACAGAGACAGAAGCACGCACATCAGGTCAGAGGAGAAGAATAACACATTTGGAGTGTGAGCCATTTTTTATCTGTTCTATTATTTATATATTTACTCTCCAATTCCACTGGCTCAGCTGGGAATGGGAGGAAATGGGCCCCACATTTCATCGTGACAGGGTTACAGGAGCATCTGTGGCTACACACACACACACCGACAAACTCATTCCAACATGTGCACATGCCTATTTGCCAGATGGATAAAGTGGTTACAGAGCTGGGACGCCATAACTCAGCCGGTTCGGTTTACCTGTAACACACAACAATCAACCGGATCCTTCAACCCCTCCACCGTTTAACGACCCCACTGTCGGCCTTCAGCTCTCTCTCTCTCTCTCTCTCTCCCCCCACACCCACCACACACACACACACACACACACACACACACACACACAGAGCTCTGCATAAGACAATACGTCAACACTGGGACATCCCCCTCCCTCTATCTCCTCCTCGTTACAGCTCTCACATATTCCCTCTCTATCTCATATTCTGCCTCTCCTTCTCCACTTCATTCCCTCCATCCCTCCGTCATTTGGTAACCTTGTTGAGGAACAAACCAATTTGCAGGATTGATTTGGAGCCTTGATGTGACGGGTGAGCAGAAAAGGCCTGAATAAGGAGTTTGCTCTCTCTCTCTCTCTCTCATTCATTTCTCACTCACCCCTCTCACCCTCTCCTCCTCCTGCTATCTCTTCTCTCTCTCTGCTCGTCTGCCACCGCAGGCGCAGGGCCTCAACGCCTGCCTATATCCATTGTGCTGCACATAAACAAGCTAATTACATTGACTGTATCGCCCATTCTTTAATTACACACCCATTCACTTAGGCAGCCGTTCATTTCCTCATCCACCCATTAACTTAGCTCTAATAGCACAGAGCGCAATCCAAAGGTCTGGAGTCTCTTGGAAGGTGTAATCAGATTGCTATCATTAACCGTGTTTGCACTGCAGTGTGTTGCGTCTCATCTTCTCTGTACTCGGGGGTGGGTGTGTGTGTGTGTGTGTGTGTGTGTGTGTGTGTGTGTGTGTAAGATCAGACTTTGTAAAGTCTGATCGCCCGCTCACACCCCCCCCCCCGACAGACACGCTCAAGTTCATTAATTGATTAATTATGTGAATTAAACTGAATCCGGTCGTATGAGTAATGTGTAAGGTGTGTGTGAATGAGTGTGTGTTGAGGCAGCATCATTATCAATCCACGTCCAACCTTGTGCAAAGGAGGTCTTTTCGATTAGCCATTATCGTCCCAGGAGACCACTGCGAGCTGGCAACAGAGGGAGGATAGAGGCCGGAGTTTTAGCTCCAGACCAAGTCTGATATTCTGATTAAAGGCAAAATGTGGCCGATCATTGAAACAGATTCATACAAGAGTAGTTCATATGTGGCAAAGGACAAAGGTTTTTGTTTCCTTTCACTGGCTGAAAAAGCTCACATTGGCAGTGGTAGTAGATTTAGTTACTAACTACTGTAACTTTTGGTTTACTTCATTGCTACTTTGCCAGGTTATACTGCCACACTGCAGTTCAGAGGTAAATCTTGGATGTTTCATTGCACGACATTTATTGGACAGGTTTACTTACTAATTACTTTTCAGATCAAAATACCTTTCTAAAATATAATGCATTGCTACCAGTGGCTCACAACCTTTCTGACTATTGAGCCCTTACAAAGCAGTGACCTTATTGAGCCCTTACAAAGCGATATCTATGAGTTGTCAGCAGTTCCACCACTATATTATAATGTTCACAAAATGCGAGATTGAAGAAAGATCCACAAAAAAAGAACACCAGTTCTAATTAATCCAAATAATAATTTACTTGATAAAACTTCAGAAAACTGCCTGCTTTAATTTTCTAGACCTCAGTGTGACTTCCTGAACTGTCTAGTTTTGTCTTACCTACAGCCCAAAACTCAAAGATATGCAATTGAATATAATTTAACAAAACTCTAGAAATGTATGTAATGTTTCCTTCTGTGCCTCAATCATCTCATGACCTCTCAAATGTATCTTAAGACCCCCTGGAGGGGCCTGACCCCTAGGCTGGGACAAATGTACAGTAGCTAACTGTAGAAAGTAGTAGCTCCAAATTGAGCAGCTACAACTGTAAAATGCTACTGGAACACTGCTAGATCAGTATTAATCAGTCACAGGGGGGAATTTTTAGGAATACATGAATGCATACATTTTCCGACACGTCCCCACGCAGGGGTTGAGCACTTGTTGCCCTCAGAGCCATTATGCAGAAGAAGATGGCTGACAATGACAATATCTTGCATCGCATTTCAAATCCACGTTTAAATCGGGCATGCTGGGAGTTGGTAAAATGTGACCTCCAGTCAGTGAACATGACGAGGCAAGCAAACAGACACGGGGAAAAATCTGTTCTGTATTCGGAGAATCATTCATTTATGATTTTCCCTTGTAAAATACACCTTCAATATTTCATAGTGTAATTCTTAGCATGGTACTACACTGACTGAATCCCCCAAAGAGCGTGCAGCTTGCATGACTGACTGAATGAACACACCCTCCTCTGCAAGCCATGCAGGAAGATCATTTGATCCATTGTTTGTGATTTTGTGAAAAAACCTTTAAATAGTTTTTTTCATCCGGCATTTCTAAATATTTAAAGACAAAGCAACTACTACTGTACGGGGACTTTCAACCATCACATACCAAAATTATTTCTAATTGAATCAATCCTTCTTCACTTTTGTCCCGGCCAGAAGCCAGCCATGCACTTAGTCACAATGCCATCCCCAACGCTGCTTTATAGGATAACACACTATTAAGCAGTCATTTACAGAGAGACATTATTCACCCAGCAGAGACACAGGGGACAGATGCACATCTGTCTGCACAGCGTTTACTCTGACTAGACTTCAGGCTGATTTTACACTCATCATTTCCTCTCTGTCAAAAACAAAGTAAAGGGCCGACTTCCTTGCACCTCTTCACCCACATCCTCTAACAAGATACTGAAGCAGGGCATCCGCTAAATTAACAGTGAGAGCTGGCTGTCACCTGAGTCCAATAACCCTCATCTGGAAGACAAACCGGACTTTATTATTGCTGCTGCAGTTCCTCTTGCGTTCAGCAGGGGCTGCTCCAAACACACAGGGAGCTCCTGTCGCCGCTCCTGCTGCTGCTGTTGATGCTCCAAAATGAACTTGTGTCTATACTCGCCACTCCATAATGCTCGGCTCTCTCCAAAGGGCCTCTTTCAGCGCGCTGAAAACCACTCCAGTCGTACAACAGCCACAAATCCACACAAGGGTTTCTTTCTGTGTTGCTCGTCATGCACCAAACTCCATGTTGTTTTGTGTATTTTAAGCAGAAATGTCCCATCATGTTGCATTATCTGATTTAAGGGTGCAGAGCTGGATATAAACCTAATGCAACAATAATGCAAAATGATATCCAGGGCAGCTCCAAAAGCTGTTTTTAAATTACTTACTAAGATATTTAGGTCCTGATTTTACAACATTTCTTAACCTTAATTTGGCCATGATGCATATTTGCAGCTTTTCAGTGTACATGCAGACCACACTCAGCAGTGTTGCATCAACATATTAGCTGAAATAGATAGGAAAAAGGAAGAGAAAACAAGCATATGGACATAGAGACAGTAAAAAACTGAGAGAGACACACTCAAAAATCAGATTAAGTCAGCATCAATAAAAAGTATCCATGACCAAACACTTCTTTATACTAAATTTACTAAAAATCTTCTGTTGCACACAGATAGTGTACAAGGAGATGAGAGGTTGTGTGTGTGTACGTGTGTGTATGTGTGTACATCCACTCATGCGTGTCTGCTGTTGTGACAGAGAGACATGACGGATCCCTCTTACATCAGTGGGAGGCCACCCGGCGCCAGATGACATGCATACACACACACACACACACACACACACACACATGCTCACAACACCAACAGTGACGGATGGACCGGCCACCTCCCTCATCACTCACTCCCACAGACAGAGGAGAGGAGAAAGAGAGGGATGGAGGGAATGAGAGGGAGCGGCAGCCGAAAAGAGGGGAGGAGATGAAAGAAGAGAAAGAGGAGAGGGGAGGAATGAGAGATGAGGAAGGAGAGGGAGACAAAGAAAGCACAGTAGGCTTTTACTTTCCAGTAATGACAGACACACACACACACACACACACACACACACACACACACACACACACACACACACACAGAAACACACACCCTCATGTCATTTCCATCCGTTGACACCTAAAGACATTATTCACAATTCATTCCCATTCGCGGGCGCGCAGCTGCCGTTAACCATTGAGCTTTCCGTGCGCTCAGCTGGGGAATTGATTCCATGTAAGACCTTTGTGAAAAGTCAACAGGCATTAGTCGAGAAAAAAACCTGGATTAGGCTTTGATTGGACGCGGCGACGCGGCGACGCAACCGAGCATGGAGAACTTAAAACGATTTACAAGCTGCGATCGGGCAAGCACAGGTTAATCCAGGGGCTTTAAGTCGCAGCCACTTATTGACCGCGTCCCAGAGGACAAATGTATTTCACACCATCAATAGAGCACATGCATGTGTGTGTGTGTGTGTGTGTGTGTGTGTGTGTGTGTGTGTGTGTGTGTGTTTGTACTGTATACGACTGGAGAAATACACGAGATGGGTTGAGTTTTTACAGCTTTCAGTAATGTGATGTTTGCAGTTGACATGTGTCAGCAACTACAACTGATCAATACTGGCTTTCCTGTCACAGTTGTAACGGCACCAAATGCACACTGGGAGGTTGGATGGCCTCATTCAAGCAAAATGGGCTTTTGCAGGCCAGCGCCAAAGTTTACGATCGATCGGACCGATAGATATTCAGGCTGATGAGCTTCAAATTCGGCAGAGGTGGGGCAATGTCACTGTTCATCACTGTCAAGTCAAAAGTGAGTCGCTGTAAGTCATTGCTAGGAAGT